GAGTTTGCAGAAAAATTGAGGGGGGCTGGGAGACAGAAGGGATGAAGGGCCAAGTATGCCTTAAAGCGTAGTGGGGAGGGTGGTCGAGGATGGGGATCAAATGTATTTAAAATCATGGCATGGCAGCACAAACTGTATTTGTTTTCGCTCCCCGCTGTCCCTTTATTCATCCTTTCTATACGTGGCAGTTCTGTGGGCCTCCGCAGCCTGTCTGAGTAACTTTGCAGACCTGGTGTTTTCTCCGATAGCGGCCATCACGCCAGGTGTCCAGTGTCCGACATCTCACGTCAGATCAGCAGAGTATCTAACTTGTCTTCATCTCCTCTCGCCATTTTTCCTACAGTTCTTTTGTGTGTGTGTGTTTTTAGCCAGACAGTCCGGAGTAGTTCATATTTACCCTTAATCAGCCTCTTGGCAGCTTATCTTTAAACCCACATTCAAAATGTTTTTCTTCTTCTGTGTCAGCGTTTATTGAATGCTCTCATTATACTCACTTTCCTGTAAAACAGCAGGCTGAAATGCAGCAGTGTAATAGAGAAGGTGTTGTGTGTTCGCCTCGTGAATTTGCCCCTGGCTACGGCTGATCTCAATTTTGAATTGTAAAAGAACAGACGAGAGCCGTTCTGATGACGTATCCTATATTCTGTCAAGAAGATCACACAGGATGCATGCCTACTGAAAGAGATCGGGAAATGCCAGGACGACATTTTCTTTTGCAGCTGTAACTATGTGTTTGCTGTGTGTAGGCCCAGTTATGTTTGATCTCCTGATGGTTGTCCAACTCCCACTAAAGATAGCATTCATGCTCGCAGGGCAGGAGTTCCAAGGCCCTGGTTGATAGTATTGTCAGAGAGGTGTTGTTCAAATTTGTCATCAGAAAAGATTGGATATTATTCACCTGATCACCTTTTAGTGCCGTGTATGTACAGTAGGTGTGGGTCTGTATGTGAGTGAGTTGAGTAAATGAAATAGACATTTATACTAGATGTATTCAGGGGTAAAGCCTAGAAGTGGCCACGGCCACCACACGGTACCGTCTGCCCACCGCACACAACCAGTACTGAAGCCTGTTTGAGAGCAATGCACATACTTATAGAACTCGAGTATATTACACCCAGTACGACGAGCAACTACTATTTTTCTGGCGGAAGCCATGCTGGAGCCATTTCTGTACAGCTTTAGTTCCCATACAGATGCATTTTAATAGCGCATCAACAATTAAAGAAGCAGAACTTTAGCAACTATTTTCCTATCTTAGTGTCAGATTGAATTTATTACAGACCTGAACTTTTTCTTTTTATTGCTGAATCTAACAATTATTGTCACAATCAATTAATCTGCCATATTTACATTTTTTTTTATTGAATTTCCCTTCTGGGATAAATAAAGTATTTTTAATTTAATTTAATTTCATTTCATTTCATTTCATTTCATTTCATTTCATTTCATTTCATTTCATTTCATTTCATTGATTTGTTTTGTCAATAAATACCAGAAATTTATGAAAAATATCTATTTCAGATGTAAGTATGGAGGAGGGAAGCATCAAGTCCTGACATTTGAATTGTTATGGTTTTACTTTTAAAAAAATCATGCAAATTATGAATCATTCACCAGAATAGCTGACAAATTGCTGCTGCTCTAGTTTCTTTAAATATAGCATTTTATCCTGAAGTCCAAACTCTACACTCCAGAGGACAGAAGATGCAGAAAGCATGCTGTCATCAGTGTCAGTTGCATGTGATCCAGACAAACTGAGCATGACACAAAATTGTGCTGTTGGATAGTAATCTGTCTACCACCTCTTTGTGGTAGACAGCAGAATATTTACACTCTTCTAGATCGCACTCTGTAGATAAGGCATGAGCTGCAATACGCGCACAGCAATGTTTAAAATAAGCACATGCATGCATGCTTTCACCCCTGTATAAACACACATGCCCACTTGCACGCATGAATGAACATCTCCAGCCATGCTCCTACACACACACACGCACAGGGTTAATGCATACACATACAGCTCCACAATATTTGTGTAGAAGTAAAACACCTAGGGCTTTTCAAAGGACCTTGCCTTTCTCTGCCTGTTTCTTTTTGTCTATTTCCCTCTCACTCAGTGCTCCACTTCTCTCCCCTCACTCTCCCTCTCCTCACACATACATGGAAGATGATGCTAGATGGCGCTGCGATGCATAGACATACATGGTCTTTCTCTCTCTCTCCCTATGTCTGTCACTGGACACACTGTACCACCACTGAGTACGTCCTGAGGGGGTGGGGGTGAGGGGCATAAAAAAATATTCGCTTGGCCTAGTTAGCCACTGCAGTGTGTGCATGTGCGTATATGTACTTCTATGTGTGTTTGCGTCCATGAGAGTGCACGTGCTTCTGCCAGAAGCAAAGAAGATGATGCATGCTGCAGAGGCAAGAAGGAATAATGTATTTGTCTGCATTTGTATGTTGAAAGCCAAAGTGTGTGTGGGACAGAGGTTGACAAAAGAAGTAGTGTGAAAAAAAAAAAAGATTTTGTGAGATTTCACAGTCGCTTTGTGTGTGTTTGCATAGAGTCATGAATAAAACTTTAAATACACTTGTAAAGACCATGTATATCATGGCAGAAATGAATTTCCAATGATTCATGATGATTAACTCATTTTTTTAATGACAGAATGATTGAGCCACACGGTCTTGGTCACAAAAAACATTCATGTTCCTTCATAAATTTATTATAAAGGTCTTTTGGAAATTAGACAAAATCTGCAGTGTCAAAATGTACATTCAGCAATGCTAATAACTGATTACATGTCTAATCTAAATCCTTAGTTCTAATTTAGACATTTCTTTACCATTTGTGATGTGTGTTTGGGGTCAATCTCTTGTTGAAACACCCAACTGTGACCAAGACCCAACCTTCTGTCTGATGATTTTAGTTTTTTTTTTGAACAATGTGGAGATATCCCTCCTTCATTACTCCGTTTACTTTGTGTAAAGCATTAGTTCCACTGGCACCAAAACAACCCCAAAGCAGAATACTACCACTATCGTGCTTGACATGCTTGGTGTTCTTGGGCTTAAAGGTTGGCTGACTCTTGACCATCCTGACCAACTGTCTCCCAGTGGCAGGTGATAGTTTGCATTTTCTTTCTGATTGTGGTAGTGACTCAACGGTACCATGCATTTAATACTTACAGTTGTTTGCACTGTTGATTTTGGGATCTAAACTATCTTTAAAATGGCTCCAAGTGACTTTCCTGACTTGTTCAAGTCAGCGACTTGCTTCTTCAGATCTGTACTCAGCTCCTCAGACTTTCCCATTGTGGCATTTGAGGCGCAGTCTCATAAGTGTATCAAATGATTGTTATTTGAATTAGTTCAGAGGACTCAGCAGCTGTAGCCAATTATAATTACAAAAAGCTAAGCGGCCATGTCACTTAGAAAATTTAACACAACTTTGTACATCAGCGACATTGATAATATAAGATGCTGCTCCATCCTTTAAATGTTAAGAATGGTTGTTTTCTTCCCATTCATGCAAGTATATATATATATATATATAGATATAGATATAGATATAGATGTATGAGGTGTTTCAGAAACGTTCCAGGACTGGTGTCACAAAAAATATATTTCAAGCCCAAACTACAAACTACAAGTTTTCCCCTACAGACGATCAATCAGCACGTCTACAAAGAGATCCTGCGGCGATTGCTTTGTTCAGTGCGCGAGAAGAGGTGAGAATTGTGGCAGGACGAGTCATGGCTGCTTCACCATGACAACACGCCTGTTCACAATGCCCTGAGCATCTGACAGTTCCTGGCTGAGAAGAACATCGACGTACTGGAGCAAACTCCCTACTCACCCCACCTGGCTCCATGGGATTTTTTTCTTCTTCCCCAAGCTCAAGGGGGTCATCAAGGGGACCCGTTTTAAAGATGTGGACGACATCAAGATGGCTGTGATGATGGTGCTGGGGAGAATTCTTCCAGGAGTGCATGGTAGCGTGGCAGAGAAGGCTGGGAAAGTGTGTTAGAAAACTTGTAGTCTGTTGGATTTGAAATATATCTTTTGTGACACCCATCCTGGAACTTTTCTGACACAGCTCATATATATTAATTTTCTATTATCAAAAAGGTACATTTTTCTTGTCCTTCCTTGCTTGAAAACCAGTACTTCAAGTGCATGTTTTACCGAGATGGTCCCCACTACATGTTCATATTGTTCATTTACATGTACCAGTATTCACAGCATGCCTTCAAAAGCCTCCTGGGCATGCGTAGTTAACTTTCCAAATTGTATTCAAGCATGGGGCAAATTTGTTTGGCAGATAAATACATGGTTTCACCTCTAACTCAGGCTCCAACTGTGAAAGTGTATGAGTGTGCAATCACAGGAATGCTGCAGGGGCTCTCGGTACCTGGAGACAAAATGGCAACATTATTTTACTTTGGGGAAGAATTTAGGGAAATTCAACTACACTCCCAGATAAAACCCCTCCAGGCTCTTTGTCTATTGTGTGTGTGTTTCCAATGCCATTACTGTTGTTGTGGATTTACCTCACAATGCTGGGTGTTTATTGTTTTTCCATTTCTGTTTTGCATGGCAATGTCGTTCCGCCATTTCCCTCACATCCGGCATGCGTGCGGCCTCCTCTCGGTTTATCCTGTTAGTTGTTTGGTCCTCCATCGCTGCCACAATGCTAGAAAAAAGCTCAGTGATTTTATCTTCTGATCTGGGGGTCACTTTGGACTACACATGTTCGCACACACACATCTCACATTCCACCACACTATCCTTCATCATCTAAAATTAATGGACACAATCACTAATTACCACATCAATAATTAAACTGACTTCTCTTTTTTGCAAGTATGGAGAGGCTCAATGGCAAACACTCCAATCCACAATGCATAATGAATGACTTCTCATCAGTTTTTCTATGTCTAACTAATATCCATCTCTCTCTCTGTCCTTGTTCTCCGCCTCCTTATGTTTCCTTCCAGATTTGTGCAAGGCCAAGGTGTGGTATTGTACCCCCAGATTGGGGATAAGTTGGACATTGTGTGCCCTCGCGTGGATGGTGGGATTGGCGAAGGCGTGGAGTATTACAAGGTGTACATGGTGCCCAGGGAGCAGCTGGAGAGCTGCACCATTACCAAGGCTGACACGCCACTCCTCAACTGTGTCAAGCCTGACCAGGATGTCAAGTTCACCCTCAAGTTTCAGGAGTTCAGCCCCAATCTGTGGGGACTGGAGTTCTTCAGAGGGAAAGACTACTACATCATCTGTAAGTACTTGTTCATCCCTTTCCTGAAGGGAGACTTAATTCAAGCTTCCATTCTTTAAGTGTCAAACAGCCTTGACCAGTTTAGCCATTTTTAAGAGTCACTTGGTTTGTGAAAAATCTGAAATGTCTGCATCTAGTTTGTTAGGTGTTTGTGGGTCTTTTGGATTCCTTCAAGATTCATCATTTTGTGGCATTAGCTAGTTGGTTGCACTTTGCAATTAGTTTATTATTGTTGTTGGAATTCCGACCAATATAAGCACAAAGTAAATATTTTCAATGTATTTGAAGTTGTACTAAAATACCACAGAGGAATCTGCAGTGTTTTCTCCCTTTGGAATTTGTTGCTTTTCTGAACCAAGCTGCTCGGTCGATCCAACACGAGTATTTCCAAGCCAAACCAAACCAGGAAAACTTGTGTGATAAGTAATTCTGATGTTTAAATACCTCAGTATACATAACACTTGTGCATGTCAAATTGTGAAATAGTGTCTTCCAGTCCCATGGTGCAGGTGTGGCCATTCTGCCTTACTGATTGTCTGTGATGTACTAACACCATCCTGGGAGGAAGCTCTGATGTGGTTTAGTGACGGCCCCCTGGTTTGAAACATGGGAGGTGGACTATACCATCTGTGTGGTGCTGATAGGGGTGTGTGTGTGTGTGTGTGGGTGGGGGGGGCGGGCGGTGGTGGAGGGGAGTTTTCGGGGGGGGGAGAGTTTGCGATTCGCTGCAGATAGGACCATCTGTGAGGCTCTGCCATAGCCATCTGTGAGCTGTCACAGTGGGGAAGGCCATGCTTCTGACTGAGTAGAAGGACGGGGAAGAAAGGAGAGTGAGGAGAGGATGAAAGAAGAGCAGAGAATATTGCTTCTTATCCAAACATTCTATTGTAGTGGAGGAAGTTGAATTTTGCAAAACGTGCAAATTTGAGAAAATTGTTTTGTAATGTACTGTAACCCTGCTTGAACTGAATGTAGTTGTCTGTGATTGCCTGCAGGTTATTTGCTTGGCAGGGCATGTTTTGAGTGTTTAAGTCCAGCAGGTATATCTGTGTATTCAGGCAAATCTGTCAGAAGGAGTAAAGCTGGTCAACATGCATGAGAATGGTTCTTAATTTTATTATTTTTTAGCTTTTATATATTCAGCTTGGTGGCAAAAAAGCTATATGGCCATATCTGATTGACTGAGCATCAGCATCAATACCCAGAGAAGCCGAACAGGCCATTCGATGTGGGTTGTGTGTGTGTGTGTGTGTGTGTGCTCAGGGACTACAAAGGCGATCAGCCTGCTCTCGTCTCCTCCTCGTCTCCCTCCATCCCAAACGCTGCACTTAATTATTGATGAGCTGATGCTGATGTTTGCTTAGCCCTGTTCTCCCGGTGCTCTGCCTCAGCTCCTGCAGCTGAATGCTATCATTTTGTGGTGGATCAGAACCTAGAAGACAGGGTTACATTCAGGTTAATGAGGAACACGGTTGCAGAGGTACTTGTGGATTGGAGAAGCAGTCAGATACAAGTGCATGTAGGCAAACATGTACACACGGTGATAATACACACACACACACACACACACACACACACACACACACACACTCACTCACTCAGGAGCCTGGAGCTTCAGCCTGAAGCTGCTCCTCTGTGCAAACACAGCTGTTGCTGTACATAGGACCTGTGACAACAACATTCCGCTTCATTCTATATCCATTCCTAAGATTATTAAATTTCCTACTGGCTCAAAGTAAAAAAACAAAAAAAAACCCTCCTCTTTATCGCCCTGTTGAGTCGACAAGTTGGAGCAGAAAGAAAGTGGGAAAGTTCAATTTGGATCTTGAAAAAGGGGGTCGGAAAATCCAATTTTGCAGTTCCTGCAAATTCCCTCCACCGACATCCCTACTTCTTCACCGCCTCCTCTTGTCACCACCATCCCGCCTCTCTTTTCCAGCTACCCAAAATGCTAATGTGAAGCTTAAAGAGGGAAGAGAGTGAGCTGCTTCTTCATTGAAGAGTGTCATTTTTTGCTGTTAATTGCTTCTCCTTGACTAGCTCTGGTCCCAGTTCTGCAGCTTTAACAGCCCACTGCAGTTTCATTGTGGTGTTATGTTGTATACTTTGCTCGGGTAAACACCAGGAGTAAAGACCAGGCAAACACCAAACAGAAAAAGAGAGAGTGAGAAAAAGAATGAGAGAAATGTGCAGACGTGTGTGTAGGTTGAATTGTGGCGCATTGCTTGCATTACCTTGCATTGTTCAGAGCCAGCCAGTTTGTGAGTCTTTGCTTGTAGGCATGATTGCTTTTATGTCTGTGTGGTGAACAAAAGGGGTATGGGACTTAATAGATACTTGTACTCTCTCTGTATACGCCCCCCTTACTCAAGCCTTGCTGTCTAAGATTCATCTGAGTGTGACATCGCCTCAGAAAAGTTCACTGCAAGGATTTCATCAGTCTTTTGGATTGAGCACTTGATACGTAATTAATTAACCAGCGTTTAATCCTCCATTTCTTCTTACAATTGCCAAGGCCCTCACATCAATGCTACGGATCTGAGTCTCCACCAATTGGATTAGCACTGCCTTGTGTTGAGTATTGTGCCAAGGCTAGACCTACATTAGATGGGTATGTTAGACCCCCCACACACACGTTTACATACAAATAACTGACATCAAGCCTCAGCATTGCATGTCTCAGCCACACGGTCAGATATGTTTCTTGTGCACCAATGAGGAAAAAGGTATTTATGTAAATCCTTTTCATATGTGTGAGTGCGGCTGTGAATTTGCAAACTTTGCGTCCTGTGTTTGCTTGCGTGCCTAGAAGGGTCGACTGTGTACATGCAGATTTGTCACCACGCTTTCTTGTGTTGCACATTTCTGTATCTGTGCATGCACGTGTGTTTGTGTGCCTTTTTAAAGTGGACGTGCACAATGCTGCTCCAGTTCAGAGCAGATGAGTTTGATGTGATTGTTTGCGGCAGCATGGCCTGCAGCCGAGAACCTAGTGAGCTAGATGATTACATGAGCTAAAGAGGGGGAGAGAGAGATGAATAAGGAGGGAAAGGGGGCAGAAAGAGTGACGAAAGCGAAAGAGAGCTAACGAGGGAGAGAGGAGAGGGAGGGAGGGAGGGAAGGAAAACGGAAAGAGAGCTAAAGAGCGAAGGAGGGAGTAGAGAGCTGAAGGGAATGGGGACACTGCAATAGATGCAATAAGAGAGATGAGTTAAAAAGGGCAGAACAAGGACAAGACTGCATTTACAGTCAGTGCAGAAATGCACAGGGAAATTTCATCAAGGCTTTAATCACCTTTTGCTTTGGTCACACAGAAAACAGGCACGCTTCCTCCTTGCTACTCCAAATCAAACATGAGCTGTGAGGGAGAAAATTCCTCTCTTTAAATTTGACATGAATTTAAAACACACTTTTGCGTTTTCGTCTGATTTGTGTGATTGGAACCATCAGTTCTTTGTTTACCCCAGTTCAGCAAGTTTCAGAGAATTAGAGTGGCGGTGGCGTTATTATCACATTATGAAAATGGGCGGCAGGAATAATCAGCTGTAGTCACTGCTACTTCGTGTCTGGAGAGAGAGGCTCTTGTTTGAACTCTGCTTTTTTGCACCTGAAATTGTAATTAAACCACTGCTTACTGCTATGCTAATTGAATGTTAACATAACCTTACCTCGAGTGGATTTAAATATTGGATTTAAAATGTTGATGTGTTGCAGAGGTGATAGCTAGGGCTGCTTGTCACACAGCTTTGATATTTATGGTGACTCATCTTTGCTCCGACTCATTTCTGAGGGTCACTGGGTCAAAGGCATCTCTTGTCATAGGCGATTAGGGCAGGTGGCTGTGACAGGCATTAACCAGCCTGTAACCCTTGCACTGTCATGATGTGTTCACGCTCCGCAGCAACCAGACAGATGGCAGTTACACTTACTGTTAAGATCGCAGCTTTAACTGTCTCTCTTGTTCTTCTTCTGTCTTTTTCCAACACATCCTCAACCTGTCCATACGTCCGTTCTCTGTCTCTTTGCAATACACTTTCTCCCCCTTCCTATCCATCCGACTGAGAGGCCTCTTCAGTCTGTTGTTGCCATGCCTTTGCTCTATTCCACTATTTATGAGTGGCCCAGCATTGTCTTTCAGTAGTGCATTGTGTATTAATTATACCCGGGGAATTTGCCAGTGCTTGCGAAGCAGCTTTCAAAGTATAATTTTCAAGCATTATTAAGGCTTTTCATACCAGACCACAAATAGTTCTGCTTTCACTCAGAGTTCTACAAAATATCTAGAATAATGGTGAAATCTAAAATCTCGAAAGTCATTAAAATGGCCATGAAGTTCTCCTTAGTGATAAATGACAGTGCAGTATTAGCTTATCATCATTGCCACAAAAATCCTATTATGGTCCAACACACGCCTTGAATGTTATATTCATTGCTATTGTATCACATACTTCCATACCTGCAAAAAATAATCAAAATAATTAACTACTAACTTAATTGACAGCAATTATGGCAATTGATCAATTCATTTGAGAAACTTTTGGACAAAAAAACCCCTAAATGCTCTGATTACAACAAAAAATGAATATTTTCTGGTTGTAGGAAGTTAATTCACAATAAAAATAATAATAAAAAAATGGCTACTTTCAGCTCTACATACTATTCTCTGCTCTTCCCATCTTTGCTGTGGCCAGCTCAGAAATCTGTAGAACTCGAGGTATTTTCCAAATAGCAATACGAGAAAGGAGGCAAAGTAGTCAGGAGTTCATTGTCTTTATCTGGATTGCAGCTCACAATAGTCTGTCTCGTTAAACACAAGGTGATTTTCCACTCTCTTGATTTGATAAACAGGAGAAAATGAAGTTAAGGAGGTTGAGGGTGTGTGGGAGCAGAGGGTGACTTGTGGTGTGTTTACGATGAGGAGGTAGGATTGCGGTTAGAGTGCATGTGTCCTTGTTGCATGCAAGTGATAATTTTACAGGTGGTTTCAACACACTGACACTCAAAGTGAGGACACTTCTTTAACACACTTCTGCCATGTGTTTGAGACTCCATGTGACTCGGGTGTGTGTGTGTACACTGGCACATTTTATACAGAACCGCTCAAGCTGTCACTTTGGTCTCAAGCGGTACTTTGTCACAGCCGGTGAGTGATTTTTTCCCCTTGTTGTGGGCTGTGTTTTGTGTGTGTATGCGAATGCCTGTGTTTGAGAGAATAGCATTTTCAAGCCAAAACCCAATCTTAACCACATTGGCAAATAGTGAAAAAATAGACTAACTGTCATAATTGAACAAATGCTGAGGAAATATGAGATGTAGCTTTCTGTTTCCTTGTCCTTCCTCTATCTTGTTTTTCTCTCCATGTGCTTACCAAAGATCACACACAAGCTGAAGCAGTGGCTTAGTCTTTTAGTTTTTTTCTTCTTTTTTCACCTTGCACTCCCTCACCTCTCTCACTTCCATTTAGCTGGTGACTAAATCCATTTTTGAAGGTCTTGCATGAACCAGGTCCCTCCCACCCACTTCCTCTCCTTCCACTTATCGTTACCTATTAGCTGGTTAATTCCAGCTAGCTGGTCTGTCAGCCAGTCCAGCCTAGCCTCTCTGACTGGACTGAGGAGGCCCAAGTCATTCAGCCAGCCTTAGCCCATTCAACAATCACATTCTGTTTAAATCCAAGTCAGGCTTGCCGGGACTGCAGCCTTGGCTCTCTCTGAGAGTGTGTGTTTTACTCCACATTTAAAGGGGAAGTACAATTTAAACTTTAAAATGAGACAGATCAAAGGATTTTTTTCCCCCCTGGTGTCTTTTAAATGTCAAAGAAATATTGCAGCCAAGTTTGGAAAGATTTGTTTTTGCAGGTTTGACGAGGAACAGGCTTCTGTTCTGTTACTTTCAGCGTAGATGGGTGCTGGTGTGTTAAATTCTTATGTAGGGCAAAGGGATGGAGAGAGCACATGGAGAAGAGGTGACACAAGTGCCTATATGTGAAGGAGATGAGATCGAAATGTATTTTCTGTGCAGCTCATTGCATTTCTCACCCTGTGAACTCGGACCTGTCAGGAACAAGCGGTTTTGTGCGTGCATTCACCTCAACCAGCCCCAAACATAACACACTCTCACTGTGCCCATTGCTCAGCAAAATACACAGAGTTAGGGTGGTTAATGACATTCTGCAGGATTGTAAAATACATGTGTGTCGTGCTAACAGGTTTATGAAATGACCACATGCGCATACACACATGCGCATACACACAGTCAGAGTAACAGGAGCACAAGCCTTTAAGGAGCTTTGTCTGTAATGTGCTTTTCGGTCTCCACTGAAAAGCCATAGGTCAGTTAGAGAAGGAGACGGGGGGAGAGAGGGGAGGCGAGATGGAGGGCAGGAGGGAGGGAGTCCTTGTTAACATGCTCTTTGTGTCCACTCCCATCACCATCTTATTGAAGCAGGGGGGATTCGGATCAAAATGATTGGTGGCAGGCAGGGAGGAAAAGGAAGCGAGAAAGAGAAAAGGGACAACAGGGAGGAGGAAGAGAAAGCAGACAACTGTGCAGACCTTAATTTTTCAAAGCTATTTAAATCAGGATGCTGCTGAAGCACCTGCCTTTCGGTTCCCTCGTAGCAATAGAAAAGCTTGCAGGAATGGGAGGAAGACATGAGGTGGCGATGAGGGGAGGGGTAAAAGTGGTTAAAGGAGGAACAGGGTGTATGAGAAGAAGGTGACGGCTGCAAGGTGGCTGCCCTAGAGAGGAGGATACTGTGGATGATGGGGTGTTGTTCAACTGAGGGGAGAGATGAGGAGGAGGAGGAGGAGAGGAAGCAGAGGGGAGCAGTGGGGGGGCGGTCGTAGTGAATGCGGGCCACTGAGTGCTGGCGGGAAGCCAAGCCACTAAGCCCTGGCAGCTCGTTAGCCTCTGTGTTACTGACCTGATAGACCACAAGCCCTACTACCCCCACCTCCCCTTTCCCTCTCTCTCCCTCCCTGCTCGCCTGTTCCCTGTCCCACTCAAGATCCACGCTCGCTGCACTTCTGTCCAGCAGCCTCTAGAGGTAGCACAGATTAAAGCATAAGAGCAGAGAGGCGGAGCAGCGGCTAATGGGCTCCCAGCTGATTGGGCTTCATCAGAGCGGCTTGCTCAGGCTATTGCATCTTGTCTTTGTGTGTGTCCATGTGGGTCACATCTGTAAAAGACTGACATAAGTATATATAGTAAAAAAAAAAAAAGGCAGTTTAAAATTTTCTCTGCTTCTCTGCTTCCTGGACCCATCTTGTCCCTCCTGTCACATGTGGGACGTCTCGCTCCTCCCCTCCAGATTCCTCTTCAGTCGTCTGCTGCTGTCTCGTAAACACAGTGTTTAGCAGCGAACTTCTGTTTTGCCCTGTGTTTAAATGCTTTTTGAGATCCTTTAAGCTCTTTTCATGTTAGGGCCATTGAGATATTTATTACCTCCCTCTGTTCCCTTAATTTCACTGCCTCTCCTGGAAAAGTGCCCTATTTTTTTTTCCTAAACATTTCTCATCCCCTCCTGTTTACATCCCTGCATTAAGAAGAAAAAAAAATCATGTTGTCAGCACATCTCTCCTTCTTCTTTAAGCCTGGCAGCAAGTTTGGTTTTCAAATCAGAGCATTTGAGTGCTTTTAAAATCCAAAAGTGTGTTCCTTAATAACTGGCTACTGCTCTCTGGGGTGTCGTTTACACTAATGCATGATAAGCCGCTGAATTTCCCGCAGCTTGCCAAGATGGCCAGTGTCATCTCAGTCCTCTCTCAGTCTTTTTCCCACCTCCTTTAACTGCCTCCTTCATGAAGCCCATCAGCACAGTTAGAGATATTACAGTCACAATTACTCAAGCTAATTGACTTTGGGGATGTGAAAAATACCGCTGGAGAGGAGCGACTGAGGTGATGAACGGGGAAATGGTGATTTTATTAAAGGGGGTATGAGTCATATCCTTCCGCAGCAGAAGGCATTCAGTGCTTCTGTTGTCTTTGGGAACTGACTGTTTTCGCGAGATAGGCTTAAGGCATATATGGCAACACAATTTCAACAACACATCCTTCTTCTACTAGATGCTTGCAGTGACAGCTAATTCTAACCCTGTTTTCTCTCTCATGTCTGCTTTAGCTACATCTAATGGCACCATGGAGGGCATCGACAACCAGGAGGGGGGAGTGTGCAAGACCAAGTCCATGAAGATAATCATGAAAGTGGGACAAAGTGAGTATTGTATAATTCAATAGAATTATAACCGTGAGTGCCTGCAAGCATGAGCAGGCAGTCACAATGCAGCACGTATATTGTACAAAATTGTGTGCGACTCTGAAAATGCCCTAATGAGGTCATGGGAGGCTGTGTAGCATACAGCTCCATCGTCTCCATGACACCTGGGGCTGCGATGGGGCAGGAAATGTAATCTAGCGGAAGTATAATGGACTCAAATACATGCACACACACACACACAGAAACAAATACAAACACACACACGTACACACAATTGTGTATGCTTGCATGCACACATGCACTGGTAGCATCTGCTGTTGTATAGTCTTTCAAATAGGTGGCTTCCTACACATACAAATCTAGCTTAGATGCACACAAATACATCATTCTCATGATCCATGTAACACCGACACACTCACCGAATGAGTGGGAATACTGCATACTGCCTGTGAAACGTGCACAGCAAGCCCCACATCCAGTCACACTGGACAAATCAGACCCTGGCCTTAATTGTGGCAATAATTATTCATATATCAGTTGTCTGGCTGCCACCTGGAATAGTAATTTCCCGGGTTCAGCCCTCTCGTCAACACCAGCTTTAGCGCTATTGAGAATAGCCGAAGGTCGGGAATTAATCTAAGCTGCTGCACACCGAGGAAGAAAAGAACAGGTGCTGAATAGGCCGAAAAATCAGTTGTGTCTCCAAGTACTACTGAAAATCAGTAGTATTTGGAGAGCTGCTTACAAATCAGCAGATTTATTAAGAGTTGTGTGGTTTCGTCACAGAGTTCAGCCAGGGAGTTCTAGCGATTATAACAGCAGATGCTCAGAGAATTACTCCACCATTTAACGTGACTGTTTTGGAGTCTGCTTGACTTTTCAAACCACTATACATGCTCTATTCAGAACCAAAAACACAAGCATTAACTACTTTTTGTGGTGGATTCCAGTGATATCTAGGTCATGAAGAGCTTAATTTGTAGGAACGGTTTGCGTTGATGTGGAACCAGTTGAAGGCGTTGGGGGGGCTAACCAGCAGTTAAACTATACCTGATGATCAGAATAGAGATCTACCTGGTTAATTTGACAAAGTCTCAAACTGTCCTTTTAATATGAGCCAAACAATATGGATATTCCCCGTTAATTCCTGTGCATCTTATCTGCATTTTTCAGATCCCTCTGACCCTATTTCACCCAAAGACAACCCCACCAGAGTACCGTATCCTCCCAAGCACTCAGATGGCAAGGGCACTTACAACCCTAACGACGTGTTGGAGAAACCAGGTGAGATGGACACTTTATGGCTTAAATCCTGGGAAAGTAGTAATTGAGTGGAGAATTTATTGAAACAATTTGGCATTTGGGAGCACAATTGGTTGGCCAGCTAAGAGCAGATAGCACGAGGTAAGTGTGTGTGTGTGGCAAGAGGAACAGATGTGTGTTTGAAGGAAAGAAAGGTCAGCAATTCATCGGCCAGTAATTGAATGTTGCCCATAAAACTGATAGGCATCTCTGGCCCCTCAAGGACTTATAAGGTATCTCCAGACTGGCCTCATTCCAGCTTTAACCCACTGCTTAAGTGACATTTTCAGGAAAATGATCTGATCGCTGTCTGCCATCTTTTTAACGACCTGTTCTGAGTACAGTTACACACTTGTTTCTGCACCAAATCACAACTTAGACAGACATGCAGCTATGGGCTGGCTGCTCACATCTCTGCTATTATATTGCAGGTAAAAATCTCATTTACAGTGAGTTGTGAGCAGAAAAAAGAAACAGGAAGGTCCTGAGAACATAAACAAGCTGACCTACATACAGTCCTCCAGTCCGTCCCCCATGTTCCGGATCACTGAGGGCGTGGCCTTGCCTTACATTCTCTGTTTTTACTTCAAAATTTGTTCGATGTCGAACACACAAACATGTGATTCGGCCATTAAATCCACACTGGCAGACACGAGCATCTTTCTCTCTGCATTTCTCGTCTTCGCTCATGCTTTTTTATGTCTTGTCCCTCCATCCTGGCCGATAGCAGAGCACATGGGCGTCAAAGTGGAATGGGCAGAGTGTCTGAGGCAGCATAATCCCCTTGTATAACAACGACAGGGTCCTTGCTTTGGGCTGCCTGCCATCGTATATCCACTCCCCACTACCACAGCTAAAGCACTTTTAGGCCCTTGGGAGAGCAGCGTCAGACAGGGGGACACAGTAATCCTGCCGGCTCAGGGAACACACTCTCATCCTGAGGAGAACAGAACAGACCCGCCCTTGAGTGTTGAATCTGAAATAGAGTGTCCATCGCTGGGAGTCAGAGCGCAGCTTGGCTTTCATAATTGATGTCCACTGATGACATCAAATATGCCTTTCTTATTTTCTTCTCTCTGGGGCTGTTAGTTAGAAAATGAAGTTACTTTTTATGTCTTTCAAAATGCAATTTATCTGAGTGCCATTTGCCTGTATCTCCCCAGCCATTGTATCTCTTGTCAGGCTGTGCTTGCCCTAGTTTCAAGGTTGCAGTCTTCACTGGCTGAATTTGAATAGCCACCGATCGAATGTGACCTTTATACAAAAGCTTTCTATAGACAGGCTTCATTCTCAGATGTGCTACTGGCCTGTTCTCTGTGCCTTTACTAAGAAATAATTAAAAGATGGTGAAGAAAATGAAAGGCAACGGCAGGGAAAGTCTGAGAAAAGGGAACTGCTTTTACTTCCTTTCCTCAAACAGCACCTAAGATCCCCCCGCCCCCATAGCTTTACAAGATCAGAACTGAGGGGCTACGCTCAATCTTTTCTGGCAATCTGATTAGCACACCCTGTTTACACAGTGACTGGTCAGGTGTGACAATAGGCAGAATGTAAAATTCTCTCAAGCGCTCATTTTCATGATGTGCACCATCAGATGTGCCTTTGACAAAAGACTGTTAGAAAATGCCATCCCCATTTGTACTGTACTGTTTTGCCACCCACTGCCCCTTGAGCTTTTGTTTGACACGTACACAACAAAAGCTTGCACATTTTACTAACTTTTGGTTTGTGTTGGTCTTCCAGATTCAGCGTCAAGAGAAAGCAACGACAACAACGGAAGCGGTGGAAAGTCGTCCAGTGTAATCGGCTCTGAGGTAGCCATCTTTGTCGGCATCGCCTCAGGCAGCGTCATCTTTATCATCATCATCATCATGCTGGTCCTGCTGCTGCTCAAGTACCGACGGCGGCACCGCAAGCACTCACCGCAGCATGCAGCCACGCTGTCTCTAAGCACCCTGGCCACACCTAAACGGAGTGGAGGGGGTGGAAACAATAACGGCTCGGAGCCCAGCGACATCATCATTCCGCTCAGGACTGCTGACAGCGTCTTCTGCCCGCACTATGAGAAGGTCAGCGGCGACTACGGACACCCAGTATACATAGTTCAGGAGATGCCGCCTCAGAGCCCGGCCAACATCTATTATAAAGTCTGAGGTGAAACTTTTAAAGGCAGGAACTGCAACAATCCACGGGCAGAGCAGGTTTTTGGTTTCGGCAGGCACCGCTGGCACACCCGCCAACAAACACTCTTGCTCTTTGTCTCTCTGTCTCTCTCACTCTGGCAACTCCTCCCTCTTTTCTCTCATGTTTTTGTCACAATTTTTTTCCTCAAAGTTTTGCTGATACCTTGTCACGCTGGTTCAGTCACAATCGATGTGGACGGGATTAGTGGAGGCCAGGAGAAAAGGCTGCTGTTGCCACTGCTGCTGTTCTGGGAAATAGAGAAGATGAGCTCTTCTTTCCCCAGTGTGGCAACTATTTTTGAATTTTTTTTTTTCTTCGTGCACTGCAGTCCGCATTCTGGAGGAGTTTTTGTGGGATCAGGAAGTTAGACAGATGCACAGTGTGTTTTTTTTAATCTTTGGGACAAATAGGCGTATATATGGAGAACAGACAAAAAATGAGGAGGAGACTTAACGGAGACGTATGGGCTGCCCAAGAACTCACAAAATGGCTGCCCTCCCTTGATGATCGCAGGCCAGAGAGACTGTGTGAATTTACCAGCTGGACCAGGAAGAGGGAGAGAGATTCTTACACTGACTTTTCCTGAGTGACTCACAACGATCACCCATTCACCCTGCCACCCACATGCTCACCCTCACAAACACACACATATTCACCCACACACACACAGACACACTGTCTCACTGGTAAGTGTGAACTGTTTGGGTTTAAGTGCAGATCACACCACTTCTACTCATTCCCAGATATGTTTTTAAATCAGATCTCTCAGATGTTACTTGAAGGTTTTCAGAAAAAAAAAACAGATTCCCTGTTGTTGTGAACATTTACTGGTTTTGTTTTCGGTCATATCTGGTTTTTGCCTCCTGGTATAGTCCAGATAGAGGTTTTCTTTTCCTTTAGGGACATTGTCATATGTGGTGTTCAAACACAAGTGACTCTACAGTGGCTAGGAGAGGCAAGAGCATGAAAAAAACTATCTCTTTATGAGAGGGTGCAAAAATGACGTCAGGTCTGCCCAAGTGGATTCTGGGAAGAGTGGAGGAACTTTCATATTACATAGTGCAGCACTTTTAACCCCTCTTTTATTCTTTGGTACCTCCACTCTCCACAGCGGTCCACAGAGAGAGACACAGTGATAGGTAGAGATGGGAGAGCAGCTGTAACCTGTCAGATTTAGTAGCGAGGGCTCGCCTCTTGAACCTGGGCTTTCTGTACAGGAAAGCTTTTTGGGGCAATAAGAAATCCAGTTCGCCTTACTGCCGTTTTTTTACGCATCAGGTGAAGTAGAGGCCCGAGATCTAGTTGAGGTTAGCATAGCTGGCTGAGACAGCTCTAGGTACTGTAATGTTTACCCATAGGGTCCAGTGATGATGAAGGTTGCCCAAGGGCCCAAAATCAGCATGACCGGTGCTCTCCTATTCTTGTTATTAAATAAAGCACAGGGACATCTACTTACATTGTCACTGCTTCTCAGTCTTCATTAGCATTTCCATGTTGTAAGTTTTTGATTTACTTCTTTCTTTTTTTTCCTTTTACTAAATAGATGTACATTTAAAAAAAAAAAAAGAAGAAAAAAAAGGACATTAAAAGATGAAAAATGAAAAATAAAAGCAGAATTTATTTATGATAGACACACAGAGCACAGTTGTTGTCAGGTGGTATGGAGAAGAAGAAGAAGAACAAGTAATGTTAATATATTATGGTATAAGTGCACATTATGCAATTTAGGTTTTTGATTATTTGATAACTCTTGACCCACTGAGTCCTGTATTTTCATGAGCTCGGTCTTGAGAAGGAGGACCAGGAAGGCGGCGAGGGGAGTAGAGTTATCTGACCCAAAATAGCTCACATTGGTGTACACAAGGGCAGAGTAGCTGTGTCTCCCACACTCACTCAGTGTAGCATCTCCCAAAGGATAAATCCCATGAACACCCAGTGCCCCTGATTCTCCTCATACATAACCTTCATGTTCTCTGTGTATGTTTGTGTGTGTGTGTGTGTGTGTGTGCGTGTGCGTGCGTGTGTGTGCATTTCAGTGACTTCATCTTCATTAATATCTTTGGCTTAGGATCCTAATTGTGATTTCAGCCTTTCTCGGAGCATATATCAGCCCATCGTAAACATCCTCATTTGTTCATGAAGAACATCAAATTTCACCGAAAAGCCAAGCCTTGTATAAACTGAGGTTTGTGCCTCTGCGAGGCTACAAAATCTGCAAATATGCAATTCTTATTTATTTTTTTAATCAATTCTGAGAAAAAAAAAAAACAACACCTATGGAAAGTGTTCTTAACCACTGAAAGATGTAACAACAAACCAACAACACAAAACTAGCAAAATTTGTAACACAAGCCTGCTGTTAGCTTTTATTTCCTGCATTTTTTGTAGTATTATTTGAACCTTTTCTGTTTTGACTATGTGCCGTAGTACAAAGATAAACTGTGAAAAATAAAACTATTAAAAAACATATGTACCACACCTACACAGGTATGAAGAAAAGGTTAAAAAATCACACGCATACAACAGAGAAATGGCTGTTTATTAGTTGCTGTCTGCGGCAGAATATGACAATCTTATTAGTTTTTTTGAATCTGGCGTCCTTTTCTTAGCTGCCACTTGACTAATGCTCTCCCAACATTGAGCAGGTTTTCTCTGACCTGTTCTGAAATGTGGTAGCGATGCTGTGAGAGCCTTAGCACATGGGCTAGGAGAAGCACCTCAGGCTACTGTAAAATGCCTTGCTCGTATGGTCAGCCCTTGGTCACTTGACTCAGTAATTTTGCACCGTACTTCTGTAGGTAAGAAACTGTAAATACATTAATGTTTGTATTGTATATGGATCCTGGGTTGTTACAATAGCCTTATTCACCTTTTTAGGAAAGTAAATGGGAAAAAAAAGTACAGAAAAAATGGAATACACTTCAGTAAAACAGAGCATACTACTTTTTGGTAAATAGCTTATGTAAATATTGACCAGAACCCAATAAAAACATTTTTTATAAACTCTTAAAGTAAGATGTTTTGTATAAAATTTGAATTTTTTGCTATGTATTTTAGCTAGCGCTCGATGGAAAGCCTGTGTCCTCCCCACTCCCTCCCCTTTTGCACTGTTTCCATGGTAATTTGGTTAAAAAAAGAGAAAAGTTGCCAAACCGACTGCTGCATATTTGTGCCATAACTGTGTACCATAAATATTTATTGAATTAGTTTCTTTTTCTTTTTTTCTTTTTTTCTTTTTTTTTGTTCTGTGTTCAGTTGTTCATGATTTAACTTCAGCCCAGTTTGTAAGTAACACAGTATTATATTTGCATTGTTTGTTTGTTTACCCCTGGTTTTCTTTAGTCATGTCATGGTTACTGGGTGGCTGTAGCCCTCTTCTCCCCTTTCCTCGCAGTATGAAATGGCCAGGCTGTGAAAAATGGTTTTAACATTCAAAATTTAAAACAAGTTCAAAGTGAGGATAAATGACACACATTCCACCAGTCTGTTACAAACTGAAAATGTTTTTCAATAAAATGTTTTTCCTATGGACGTGTTGTCTGCCTGTGCTGCTTTGAATTTCTGCTGTCGTACTGCATGAATAAGTAATATCCCTTCTTCACTGTCTCACACACCATGACCTTGACTTACAGTTCATAGAAGGTGATTTATTAGTATAGAATAGAAACGTATAGATAATAGAAACTTTAGACAATTTATACTAAAGACTATATACAGTACAAGACATAAGTCAGCACCAGCACTGGCATTGGGTATGAGATAAGGTCTGGCTTTTACAAAAACGTCTTCTTCATTCTTTCTTTGTGTTTTCACATTCTGATCACTGGCAAACACAGTGTAGGTCACTGAAAAGGAATCTTTTATAAAAAAAAAAAAATATTGTAGGGTGGAGTTTTTCAGAAACTTTGTTTGCAGTTTTAACAAGTAGACTGGAAAAAAAAATGGAGACACCCATGAAACTGACACCCAGGTATGAGTCTGAACTGGATCTTTTCAGTGGCTATGTGTTCATTCTTTATTCGTCATGCCCCTATCACATAACTTCACAACAAAACAACCAACCCTCTGCTTCCTGCTAACACAACTACATGCATGCACAGTGTATATGAATGGTCATGGGGTTCTGAAACACTTGTCAGGATATTGTGAAAATATAAATGCATGACTGTGGCCATAGCCTCAGTTCATCCAAAAGGTGTTGGATGGGGCTGAGGTGTGAGTTGTCTATATGCCAGTTACGTTCTTGGACACCAAACTGAGAAATGTTGAAACAGTGAAAGATTTTTACCAAGCTGCTGTCTAAACCCCTCTTGTTTAAAATGTGGTACTGTGTTTAAATATGGTACTATTAACTCCATACACTTCTTTTAAAAATGCCTACCCCCAAATTTAGTCTTTAACATCTCCACAACTGTGTCATCAAAATGACCAACTTTTGACTCTATGGATCAGAGACACCTTTGAGAATTGTATAATACAATAAAATAAGCTTATATTAAATAACAACAACAACAACAACAACAACAACAACAACAATAATAAATCTCCTTGTCCTGTGTTTTAACTATAGTAGCAGCCTCATAATTCAACGTCCTATGCTCAGCCAACTTCTTAAAATGACAAATACAGGCTGGTAAGGGTACAGGGACCACTAAGTTAGGAACAATTAAGGGGAGACTGCAGCATTTCAAAGAGTTGTGGGATGTAGTCATGCTACCTGACTCAAGCCTAATGGGTCCTGACAAATTGTTGAATTTGAGTTTGCAACATACAAACTGTAACTTGCAACAAATAATGTCCTCCTTTTGCATTAATTCTGATGTATTACATGCTATGCGTTAGCAAGAGGACTGTAACACTGTTAGACTCACAAATCCATCAGCAATTTGTAAGTCACAGTCGTATTTTAAATAGGACAGTGGCATCATCTGTGATTTGGGCCAAAGCAGCACTTAGAAACTGACCTTGCAAAATGTACAAGTACAACTGTGGCCTTTGTTGTTTAAGGTTCATGCAAATGTGTCGTGTCCAGCCCTTGAATATCCCTTTAAGTGCACTCCTAACCCAAAAATAGGTCAAAAGGAAGTGTCAACATCGTTCTGGGCAAATTGTACAACCCAAGAGATTAATGTGGTCTCACAACACTGTTGTGCACCCATAGTAAAGGTGTGTCTACTGTGTGCAGTGTGGCCCACTCTCTGTTGATGTAATGTGAACACAGTGATTAAGCGATCCTGTTTCCTATCAGTGGGATGATGGTTACTCTCTGAAACAGAACCAGCACAGGGCCAAATTGTCACTAAGCCTGTGAGTCAGTCTTGTTTTGTCGGCCAATATTTCCAGGCAACCAGCCTGTACAACCAGTCATGCTGCCAGTGAGTCAGGAGGAGAGCTGCCAAAACGTAGTCAGGCAAAGACACAGCCATAGCAAGCCAGGCATCCCGTCCACTATAGCTGGCTAGCACCACTGAACCAGTCACCAAATCAGCTCATAAAGCCCATCAGCTCGCCATCATAGATCTCTGTTCAGAGTCTGTGAGCCAGGGGTATCGAGGAACAGCAAGATTATAGCTTTGACAGCCAGGCATCTAGCTAGCCAGCATTTTTGGCAATGTCTACATTACAACCATCAGATTCTTGGCTTTACTTTAGTATCAACACTAGGTCACTGAGTCTGTGTTTTCTTTCTGATAAAGGCTGAACCACTGAATTTGAGATCAAAACCTTGCAACAAAGTTTGAGGTATCCAGCAAACCAAATATGAATTAATTGTGGATTTAGTCTGGACCCTAAGGCAATGCGCTATACTGCTCATGTGGTTGTAACCAACTGCTGGATGATTCCATCATAATTTCCATGATTTCAGGATCCAGTAAATCACAGAAACATCTGACAGTCCCAACAATAGCCATCCCATACACAGAACCTGTTTGAGGCCCAGTGGTGCCAAGTAACTAAGTACAATTCAGTCAAATATTGTTTCCACGCTGCTACATTTATTTGATTATTTAGTGACTTTGTAGATTCAGATGACTAATGGTAAATACGATCAACAACTTTTATGATATATGACTGCAGATTAACCCTTTAAGCGAGAGGTTTCACACAAAGAAATAGTGTAAAGCAACGCACTCTTCATGAAAGAATATAGTGATGCTGCACATCAAATGAAACAGCAGAACCTGGGCTACAAGAATATAGAGGCCATTTTTACATGCCCCAAACAAAACTCAAACACCAACTAAATGAATTATCAAACATGGACATCGATATAGCGCCATCCAGTCAACCCACTCGCCACATTTCTGGCTCAAGCGCTTTGGTACTTTATGCAAAACACACAAACAACCGCTCAAACGAAAGCAGACAGTCCACAGATTCCAAACATGTCCATCAAAGCTCTCTGAAATCAAAGCATCGGCAAGAAACAACCCAAAGAACAGTAAAAACCCAAACCCCTTCATGAAACTACAGTTGTAAAATGTGTCTTACCTTAGCTGCTTTGCCATGAAAAGTTGGTTTTGTTGGTAAATCCACACCGGAATCAGTTAGTACTACTTCCTGTGTTACACTGAAATCA